TGCCTGCCTTGACTTCTCAAAGTGCTGGGATTACAGGCATGAGCCACTGCCCAGCCCTATTCAGAGTCTTTCTGAGAGGCTTCCCCCACCCTCCACCTGCTGTACTCCCATTCCCTTTTTCAGAAGCGGCAGAAGCTAGAGCCATCCCGACTTGGGCTGGAGCGGCAGCTGGAGGAGAAAACGGAAGAGTGCAGCCAATTGCAGGAGCTGTTGGAGAGGAGGAAGGGGGAGGCCCAGCAGAGCCACAAGGAGTGAGTGCAGCTGGTGGGGGCCTAGGCCCAGCTTAGAGGCCACTCCCACTTTGCCCCCAGGGTTAAAGGAGACAGAAGGAAATCTCCAGAAGCTCAAAGGGGCAGTGTTGGTTTAAGGACAGGATTAGGACTTTTCTCTCTACCTTCTTTATCAGTAATGGTGGTAGTGCATGATTGAGAGTTAAGCTACCTGGGTTTGCCTCTGTCTCAGATTCTTTTTTTTTTTGAGACCGAGTTTCACTCTTGTTATCCAGGCTGGAGTGCAATGGCACGATCTCGGCTCACCGCAACCTCCGCCTCCTGGGTTCAGGCAATTCTCCTGCCTCAACCTCCTGAGTAGCTGGGATTACAGGCACGCGCCACCATGCCCAGCTAATGTTTTTTTGTATTTTTAGTAGAGACGGGGTTTCACCATGTTGACCAGGATGGTCTCGATCTCTTGACCTCGTGATCCACCCGCCTCGGCCTCCCAAAGTGCTGGGATTACAGGCTTGAGCCACTGCGCCCGGCCTGTCTCAGATTCTTAAGCTGTAAAATAGAATTAATAATAGTACCTACCTCACAGGATCATTGTAAGGATTCATTCATCCATTCAGCAGATGTTTCATCAGGAATGCTATGACAGGCATTAATCTAGGTACCCAAGGCACATTGGTGAACCCTACAGATGAAGGACTCGCTCTCCAGAAGTTTAGTTTCTACTGAGAGGGAACAGACAGTAAACAAACATATTATGCAGGTAAACTTGTAACTGTGAGAAGGCAGTAAGTACAACAGGGTAAGGCAGACCAGGAGGGCCAGGTTGCTGGGGAACAGGTTGTAAGGGTCAGGGGTGGCCTCTTCAAGACCTGAACGAAGCAAGTTTAAATGAATTAATAAATATGAATTAAAACATATGATGTGTTTAGAAAGCTGCCTGACACATAGTGTGCAATCATGTTATCTATTATTAGGCTCCAGAACATGAAGCGCCTCTTGGACCAGGGTGAAAGTTTACGACATGGACTGGAGACCCAGGTGGTGGAGCTGCAGAACAAGCTGAAACAGGTCCAGGGGCCTGAGCCTGCTAAGGAGGTGTTACTGAAGGTAACTGGGGTCCTGTGCCCCAGCCTCTGCTTTTTCTCAGCTGGATCATGCTCGAGTCTGCTCATCCATGGTTTCCCCAAAGTGTGAGGAGCGGGTGGCTGATTGTAGGTACTCCTTAGTGTGCTTTCAGGCAGATTTGGGGGTGGGTTGGGAATAGAGTTGGGACAAAGGAAATCGATCACGCCGCGCTCTAGTGCTGGTACTAGAGCATCTGCTACTGTGCCTAACACAAAGGTGCTCAATAAATATTTTTGACTCAGTGAATTGGTGAATAGATGGATCCTAATATAGTCACCCCTGCACTTCTACCTTTACTTTCTCCAGGACCTGTTAGAGACCCGGGAACTTCTGGAAGAGGTCTTGGAGGGGAAACAGCGGGTAGAGGAGCAGCTGAGGCTGCGGGAGCGGGAGCTGACAGCCCTGAAGGGGGCCCTGAAAGAGGAGGTGGCCTCCCGTGACCAGGAGGTGGAACACGTGCGGCAGCAGTGCCAGCGAGACACAGAGCAGCTCCGCAAGAGCATGCAGGATGCAACGCAGGCATGTGACCAGAGCAGGGTCTGAGAGAGAAGGGCGCTGCTGGGGAGCAAGGCTGCCTGGGCATCTGGTGCTTTTGGATTTCTCATGGTTGCAACTGGAAACTCCCCCTGAAGGACACATGTGAGATCCGCTGAAAGCCTTGGCCAGGAAAACTCTAAGGGCACAGTGAAGGAGCACAGGCCAGAATTACCATGAGATTGTGTGACAAAAGTCCCGGGGAGGTTGAGGTGGTAGCTCACGCCTGTAATCCCAGCACTTTGGGAGGCCGAGGCGGATGAATTGCTTGACCTCAGAAAGACAGAGAGCAGCCTGGGCAACATGGAGAAACCCCGACTCCACCAAAAATACGAAAACTTAGCTGGGTGTAGTGCATGCTTGTAGTCTCAGCTACTTGGGAGGCTGAGGCAGGAGAATCACTTGAACCCAGGAAGTGGAGGTTGCAGTGAGCTGATTTTGTGCCATTGTACTCCAGCCTGGGCAACAGAGCAAGACTTTTGTCCCCCCCAAAATAAAAAGTCTCAAGGGGAAATAACTGGGGGAGTTTTCCTGTAGATGATAGAAGGTAGACTGTGACTTGAGGAGAGAACCTCTGCTAGTATTGTACCACGTACCAAAAGGGTGTCAGGGGGCGCAGCTGGCATGGTGCCCACTGGGTCTAAGCCTTTCCTTCTATACACTCACACTTTGCTTTGAAGTGACTGCTTCCTTCTGAGCCTTCTGGTGTCCAACTCTCCCCTTCTCTAGGACCATGCAGTGCTGGAGGCTGAGAGGCAGAAGATGTCAGCCCTTGTGCGAGGGCTGCAGAGGGAACTGGAGGAGACCTCAGAGGAGACGGGGCATTGGCAGAGCATGTTCCAGAAGAACAAGGAGGAGCTTAGAGCCACCAAGCAGGAGTAAGGAGCTTGGTTCTCTCAGAAATACTTGCCCATGGTTCATATCCCACTTCCTTTCTCTTTTTAATTTTTGATTTTAATTAATTAATTAATTTGAGACAGAGTTTCACTCTTGTTGTCCAGGCTGGAGTGCAATGGCATGATCTCGGCTCGCTGCAACCTCTGCCTCCTGGGTTCAAGCAATTCTCCTGCCTCAGCCTACCAAGTAGCTGGGATTACAGGCGCATGCCACTACGCCCAGCTAATTTTTGCATTTTTAGTAGAGATGGGACTTTGCTATCTTGGCCAGGCTGGTCTTGAACTCCTGACCTCACCCACCTTGGCTTCCCAAAGTGCTGGGATTACAGGTGCCAGCCACTGTGCCCGGCCCTTTGTCCTTTTTTTTTTTTTTTTTTTTTTAGACAAGGTCTGGCTCTCTTGCCCAGGCTGGAGTGTGGTGGCATAGTCGGGGCTCACTGCTACCTCCACCTCCCAGGCTCAGGCCATCCTCCCACCTCAGCCTCCTGAGTAGCTGGGACTACAGACATGCGCCACCATACCCGGCTAATTTTTGAATTTTTTGTAGACAGGGTTTCATTATGTTACCCAGGCTGATCTTGAACTCCTGGGCTCAAGTGATGCACCTGCCTTGGCCTCTCAAAGTGCTAGAATTACAGGTGTGAGCCACCACACCCGGCTCACTTCCTTTGTATCCGTGCTGTGCTCTTACTCTCCCATTTCTCAAACCGCTGTTTTCCGTGTTCACCTTCCTTCCTCTTGAGAGTGGGTGCCCAGTGTTTTCGCCTCCAGAGAGGTGGGTTTCATTGCCATGCTAACCTCCCCCAGGCATGTGGCCTTACTCTGTTCCCTTTCCCCTTTGTTTTACCTTGCCCACTCAGACTCCTGCAGCTGCGAATGGAGAAGGAGGAGATGGAAGAGGAGCTTGGAGAGAAGATAGAGGTCTTGCAGAGGGAATTAGAGCAGGCCCGAGCTAGTGCTGGAGATACTCGCCAGGTTGAGGTGCTCAAGAAGGTATTTGGGAATTGGGGGGCAGAATGGGAGGTAAGGGTGATGAACACCTGCCTTACCTTTCCATGAGGGCCTCCATGCTAGTGGGGCCATCTCCTGTGTGCTTGGTTTCCAGGCCTCATCCTGCTTGCTCAGCTTGATCTCTTTCCAACACATCAGCACTCGTCTTCCTCATTGAGCATAGGGTTTGTCCCTTCCAAGTACTAACCAGGCCTGACCGTGCTTAGCTTCCGAGATCAGACGAGATGAGGCGTCTTCAGGGTGGCATGGCCGTAGACTGAGCAAAGAGGTTTCTAATGGAAAGTGCTCTCAGAAGCCAGGTTGGGGTATAGCCAAAGGCTGGTGGCTGCCTCCCAAGAGACGTCATGGGTGGCAGCATTTAAGTTGATTTGTGAAACTCCAGGGTCATTTTTGCAGGCTCAGAAATCTAATTGGGTCAGCATGGCAAATGCTGCTTTGTCTTTCAGAGGGGACTCTTACCTACATTTATGAAGAAATGTTTACCATTAGAATTTCAGCTTATTAATTTACACTGAGAAATATCATCACATGGACTGGAATACTTGTGTTGGCATGGCCTGGTTACTAATGTAACAAAACTTACTAGAAAGAAAAAGCGGCTGGGTGAGGTGGCTCATGCCTGTAATCCCAGCCCTTTGGGAGGCTGAGGTGGGCGGATCACCTGAGGTTGGGAGTTGGAGACCAGCCTGGCCAACATGGAGAAACCCCTTCTCTACTAAAAATTCAAAAAATTAGCCGGGCATGGTGGTGCGTGTTTGTAATCCTAGCTACTTGGGAGGCTGAGGCAGGAGAGTCACTTGAATCCGGGAAGTGGAGGTTGTGGTGAGCTGAGATTGTGCCACTGTACTCCAGCCTGGGCAGCAAGAGTGAAATTCCATCCCCCCCCCCCAAAAAAAAAAAAGAAAGGAAAGAAAGAAAAGTAGCAGAGTATATGGTCTTACATTGCCCAGGCTGGTCTCTAACTTTCTGTGGTCAAGTATATGGACCATACACCAGAGTATATGGTCTTACATATAAAGGTTACATATAACCCTCTAGCCTAATTATGGTACTTTCTGAATTTCAGAAGTAGCTAATAATTAGAACCAGAAGTCATATTTTAATTTTCTTTTTAAAAGAAATCAGAGCTGTGCCAGTATTTATTGTGTCACATATTTTGGTTTTATATCATATGTGTGTGTGTGTATGTGTGTTTTTCCTGAAGCATTATAGGAAAGGCGACAGGCAGCTGCAGGCATTGATCTGACCTGTGCTGTCAATGTCTCTCCAGGTTGCTCATGCATACAGTTAGAGATCCCATGGCCATACTATATATATATATATATTTTTTTTTTTTTTTTTTTTTTTT